TCAGCTAAAAACTTAATCGGGAGCGCATTTAAATTAATCCGAGAACGCAAAAATGCGCAGTTATCTTCAAGAATTAATTTGAATGTGTTCCCGATTGAATTTTTAGCTAAAATTTGGTATGAGTAAACTAGACTTGGTGAATAAGATGCTCAAAATCAAAAAATTCCACCGGGAACTGCCCCAAATTGCGACGGGCCGGACAGAACGTCCTATAGAAGGACTTAATTGTCCTTTTTATGAAAGTTCGAGGATCTATTTGACAGTTTTCCCATTCCCCTGAGAAAATGATTGCTAAATAAGAATCGTGATATATTTTATTTACGTCCGATCTTGTTGGTTTAAATTTGTAATTTTAAAAACATACGTAGTATTTGTTGTACATCGTAAAACTATAAAACAATGCAGCCAACGTGTTTGACAAAAGTCCTACACCGAAACAAGACTCAAATCAATTACACGGTATGGAACATAAACTAGAACTAGAGGTTAATGATGCATAAAACACTTTTAGTAATAAGACTGACTGCATTATGTCAACATACAATGGTCTATTTGCATTTATATATTCTCAAAAGATGCATGCTTTATGATTCCTGCGAGTTATGTGATGAACTATATGTTCTGTAATGATTAATGAATGGGTATAACCTTAAAGTTATCTGACAAGCTTTGCAATTTGTATACCTAATACAGTTGCCTCATCTATTTTGCACTTCAGTTTGTACACTCTCAGAGCACTCATCTGCTCCATATGGATAATCACTTAGTAGATGGTTGTCTGCTAGCTAGAAAAGTATTTGCCATGACTTGAGTTGAGCGAGTGATGGAAGAGCAACAACTAAAGGGAGCTAAAGTGGAGATAATGTGATGACAAAGGAAACAAACACATGCCTCGAGCAGTGATAGATTTGAGACCCGAGATAGAGCAATGGTTACCAAAAAATGAATGTTTTGGAACAATAGTTCGGCTTCTGGAGCTTCACATACTTCACTAACATATTTTTCACAAACTTGAATTGAAATTGATCATCTTGATGAAGAGCCGTTGAAAGAAGTACATGTTTAGGAGATATATAGTTGAAATAATATTTTTAGATTTTTTCCTACAGTTATGATCAATGTAAAAGTTTCAATATTATTCAGCTATCATTACTTTTTTTTGACTTTTTAGCAACATATGTATGTATCTTATTTTACTTGTGTACAAGTCTTTGAGAGTATAGATCTGGCTTGAATGACGATATTGATAAAGATTATTATATATATGTTGGCATGAGTGTTGTTTAACCTACAAATTAATACTCACACACGTGCATCTTGCTTGTGGATAGAAGTACTTGTGTGCTCTCAACTCTCCCTACAATTAAATTTTGTGCGAACAAATAATGTGTCACCATGAATATATTTGTGACAAAAAAGTTAAGCCTACAAATTTAGTTTGCATGCATAACATTTGTCTTCTTAAGTTTGACCATACAAAGTCTCAATCTTTGTGGGCTAAGTTCTTCCCCTTCAAGCTTTGCCCCACAAATATGTCCACAAATTAACTTTGTCGGGAAAGAATTTAGACTACAAAAAACTATCTTTGCATACAAATATCATACGCAGGCAAAATGCGATTTTCTTGTAGTGTTATATAAGACTTTATGCTATTCTTCCTATCAGGTTGACCTTTTAGATGAAATCTCATGTCTTTACTTTGTATTAGAGTCAAGTGCAGTTGTGATTTGATTGCTTGTTTAACACACATAATTAAGAGTCGGTTTGGCCCACTTATCCATTTATCCTTTTATGAAACCCCATGTCTTATCAAGTACTACACATTCATTTTACTAAATTTATTAAACCAATTCAGTTTCACTTGGTTGAAGTTTTTCCGTTTAATACACCAAATTACATATTGTTCGATTCAGCTCAATGAAATCATATCGAAATGTTAACCTTTATTCTGTGATATGTAGGAGAGACATGGATATAAAAATTATTTTTCGAGGGAAAATGAAGATAGAGGTAATGGGGAGAAACAACACTCGTTTTTCACAACCGGGTTTTGTCGGGTAGCATTTTTCAAGTAATAGAATAAGTCTCACAATAGACACAATTTGCCATGCACTCGACTAGGGGTGAACAAGGTCCTAGACCTAAGACTGACTCAAATCGTGACCGGTTGATTCTGAAATCATAGCAAGACCTTAAGTCACGGTTGTAGGTTAAGACCTAAATCACAATTATGAGCAGTCTTTAACATAATCGTAAGTAAAAGGTTCTAAATTGAGACATGAAAAGTGTCTCGTTGGGTCAACATCATCACGACCCCATGACATGAATGAAAGTTGGGGATATAATCCTCAAGATGAGAATATGGATCAATTTTTGAAGCGACTCCACGATAGCTTTCTAGTCCAAGTCACCATTATTGAAATAGGTGATGAAGAAGAGGGTTTGAAGAAGCAGGGGTGTTTGGAATTGCTTCTCTTTCTTTTTTTAAAGCAGAAGCAAAATCAGAATCAATTTTCAGAGGCTGGTCTCTCCTAACTTCTAAAAAAACTGATTCTAGGAGTAAATTATAGCACCAGAATCACTTCTGCACTTTCACCCAAACACAACAAATTCTGTGTATGATCCCTGAAGGAGCATAAGCAGTTTTAAGAATCAGATCCAAACATCCCCGAAGAACTGCAAGTAGTAGAGTTAACATCAAAAGATGTTAAGGAATAAGAAGGGTTGAGTACCCTTGAGGACGAGCAAAGGATCGAGGTGGACTCATTCACAGAAGTGAATGAAGGTTAACCTAATACATAGTAAGACATTAATAAAATGCTTTTGTGAACCACAAACATATGCGTATAAAATGGGATACAAAATGAGGCAGCTTTACATTTGTGTAGAAGGAAATGGCATCCGATCACATATATTATAGTTTATGAGCTCAATCTTTTGGAAATTTCGTTTATAATGATTACCGGTTCAATTCCATAACAAGATTCAAGTAAATTGCAGTTTATACGGATACAAATCTGAAAATTGAGAACTTTGGGCTCTGTATTAATTAGCTAATGCATGCATGTTTAAGGCCCTTAAGAATGATGATTGGTAGGTGGGAGGTTTTGGTTTCGTAGACCATTTGCTTTGAAAACAGTGTTTTTCATGGATCAGGTGATGCGGTACACATTCATTGCTGAGCCTTAACTTGACATATGCAGACGTACATGTTTGGCCTTTTCGTTCATTGGAACTCCCATTTCCTCTTTCTCTGATAAAAAAAACTTCCTCTCTCGCATGCGTTTGTTGTATCATGAATTTCTGATGACGTTTTTTCAATTGCCAAGTCCCCATCAGAACGGGTCCCCTCTCACAGTTCGGACGGTGGGGATATTGACTTTAGATATTCTTCTTCTACACCATTTACACACATACACGTTTTTATACTTGTCTATTAACACTATTTTTTGTTTGTGAAAATACTATGCACAAATAAAAAACTAGTATTCATAGACAAATGTAAAAACGTGCACGTCTGTAAATCATGTATAAAATGTTTTTTTTGTATTGACTTACATGTAAAATATTAAAATAAAAAATAATGTAATTGAGATCTGTGTAGAAGAGCGAAAAACTATTTTAATCACATATTCACTAGCTACTTTAAAAAGAAATACTCCCTCCATATCTTTATGAGCCCGTTTGGTAGCACCAAAATCGGCTGTTTTGGCTGATTCTGCTGAAATTTATGAAGTTCTGGCTGAAGTGACTGCATCGGCTGCTTCAGTTGATTTAAGAAAAAAATTAAAATATATTTTATTAATAAAATAAAGAAAAAAATATATGTAAAAATAGTTAAAATGGTCATCTACAGTAACTTTAGCCAATACAGCCAGAAAAGTAACTTCAACCTTACTCTTTCTGTTTATTACACAATTCAGCGTGTGAAAGCAAAAATTACGTGTTTGGTGAAAAAATTGGCTGATAAGCCGAAAAACAGTATTGTCAAACGGACTCTAAGAATGTTACATTAGGTTTGACACATTATTTTAGGAGTAAAGCATTAGGGGTAGTGAATAGTATAAAAAAGTAGGATATAATGTAAAAGTATGAAAGAGAAAATAAAAAATAAAAAAAGCAAGAGTAATTGAGTATTTTCTAAAGGATAAAAAATGTTTTCTTTTGGACTGTTTTCAGTCCCAGACCAGACCAGACCAGACCAGACTTAAACAGACCAGACCAGACTAGACTTCCGTAGTTATAAAATACACAGAGACCAGACGTTTACCAGACCAGACCAGGCCAGACCAGACCAGCAAATTTCAGCCCAAAAGAAAACATCCAAACTTATCAAAAATGAAAGTATAACAAACTTTTAAATATATCCTAAAAATGAAAGTGCAACCAACATTAAAATACAGGGAGTATGAAAGATTTTTGTGACAACTAAAAAAAGAAAATTAGTCAAGTTTTATCGGATGAAGGGAGTATTGTTTTTAAACTTGTTTTGATTTATCCCATTTTATAAAAATTGACCAAAACTAAGTTAGGATGTTTTCTTTTGGACTGTTTTCAGTCCCAGACCAGACCAGACCAGACTTAAACAGACCAGACCAGACCAGACCAGACTTAAACAGACCAGACCAGACCAGACTTAAACAGACCAGACCAGACCAGACCAGACTTCCGTAGTTATAAAATACACAGAGACCAGACGTTTACCAGACCAGACCAGACCAGACCAGCAAATTTCAGTCCAAAAGAAAACATCCTTATTATACATGAAATAATAAAGTAAACAATCAAGGAGTGTAAAATTAAGATTTATGAATAAAAGTGAGAAAATAACTTTAGTCACTTCCTCATTCCATAGATTTGGTGCATTTATTAATCTCGTAGATTGGACTATAATATCTAAATCCAAGAAATTAACTAAATACAATTAACTCCAAACTGCACAAAGTGCTATACTTTTCCTCATACACAAGCGTCAAGAAACGCATACTCAGCAATTTCTTTAGTTATTGATTATCATATACGAGAAAGGATTCAAAGAGACGGTTAAGCAATTTATTAACGATAAATTACATTCAGACCACATTCTCCCCCATCATCATTCCATAAATACTACTCCGTAGAAAATAAAAAAGAATACCTCAATCCACAATTCCATTGATACATAGAAGGAAATACCTCCTATGTATATGGGTTGAATTATTTGTATTCATCACAGGAAAACATAAATGTATAATATCCCAATTATACCCGGAATGAATTAAAATAGTAAGAAACCGATCTATATTATTGAATATCGATATTTTCTGTATGTATAAGGTATATATTTCTTCATGAAGTGTCTCCCCCTTCAAAATGTAACATATACGAGTAGTTGAATAAAGATGAGCAGTTATATTTGATAGTAGGACTGAATGGGCATATATGTATATGTGGAGAATTCATGTAGCGGCCTTCATCATCATGCATGAAACTCAATGGCACTGCTTATTGGCATGAATTGAATAACAATTCGGTGTAGCTGTGATCAAGCATATGGGTATTTAATTTACCCATGAGAAGCCAACATAGTCGAACAAATGGTGAAGCCAGGTCCTCCAACAAAACCATATTTACACCCTTGATTGAAAGCAATAATGCCCATGTAAGGCCTGTAATAATACAATACAAACCATATCATCATTAGTTCAAAAGCAATACTTATAATCATAATTAGTCCAAAGTTTATAGTTACTAATGAACTCATAAGTCATATATAGTATTTCATTCATTCCAGTTCAAAGTTCTCTATGAGGTTCATGATGGCCGATCCGACTAACACTTAAATTAACTTTTACAGTAATGTGTGTGTGTTTGTGTGTGCGCGCACGCATGTGAGAGAGAGAGAGTCTATGAGGTTAAAATCTACATATTCAGAAATTACACTACAAGGTTTATTGAAATATGTAGATTTAAATTTAACTATGAATGCTTTTTCATAGACATTCCATCTTCTACAACCAAATCTTTTGATGTTATTTGACAAACAATAATTTCAATATGCTGATTTAAAATTACATTCTGGCGAGGTCCGTTTTACATCCCAAAACTTCGACTTCGCACTTGTCTACCTAGCGTTTACTGTGGGCACGATAATTGGACCAGAGGTGTGCCTGGAGTTTTAGGTGGAATGGAGGTTGTAATTATTTATACTTCACGTGGTATAAAAAATTAGACAAATACACTCTTGAAAGTTGAAACAAGTTTTAATTGCTTTTAATTTTTTAGGACAACGTTTCTCTTACTTTTATAGTAAGAGTCATACTTATGAACTTGGTCCATACTTCTTTTTATGGGTAAATTTTAAAAATGTAGTCACGCTTCAAACAAATTTGGGTCCTAAAATAGTCATTTATGGTCAAATGAAGCTAAGTTGTCTTGTAATTTACCAAAAGGAATCATAGACATCACTTCCTCAATCACAGTATGATAGCTCAAATTTGAAATTTCTTACTCAGACTTTGTTAACTTGGAGTTTATTTTTTTCTTATATTATACTTCCCTCACACTAAAATCTGTCAATATTTTATATTTGGATGCCCGAAAATAAATGTCATGCGTACTTTTTTTTAACTAAGTTATTATAATTCTGAGGAATACCCAAATATGCAATCATATTCAAATGCTAATTTCGAAAATGTGATATAGATCTAGTATTAGATTTGCTCATTAATAGTTGTAGCAGATCAATTTTTTACTATTGACATGATCTATTGTTTGCATTTCATCAATTAAAAAAACCTATCAAGAAAACATTACTCAATTTTGTCTCAATTTTGATTAGATGGTTGAATATATAGATACTCAAAGTCAGTTAACAGTATTGCAAATAAATCACAATGAAAGGTAGTATTAACTAGTCATAGAAGCTGTCTTTCGCTAATTAAAGAATTGTAATTGTACTTTGGTTAAGCATGACTTTTATTGCAAATGGACATGGTTCTACACTTCTACATGTAATAATTCTTGAATAGAATTATTAAAAACTGAGGTTCATCATTTGAGCTACATGCTAATCAAGAAATTATACGGAGAATTTAATTTTCTTTTGAGATTTAGGGGCATGATTAAGAGAGCGAAAGATGACATGAACAAAACTTTATTTTTACAATCTTTTTTGGGGGACAAAGGGAATAATACTATGTACGGAATATTATTTTATTTAGATTCACCCAAATATGCGTACCTTAAATAAATCAATAACGAACAGATCGATCAGAATAAATATCCTTTAGCTATTGTTTTTGGGGGTCAAAATCAAACTCTTGGCCAGCTTTAACAAATCTACCCTTTACACGCTTTCTTGTATCAGCTCTGGCTTTCCGTGATGCATATCTTATTTGCTTCCCAAACCTGCGTACCACAAGCAAGAAGTATGTCATTTTATTACCATGAATTCATAGAAGTTGGTCAAAGTCCTATATATATATATATATATATATATATATATATATATATATATATATATATATATATATATATATATATATATATATATAGAGAGAGAGAGAGGGCTGTTCGAGTCAGGAGGCCTGACCGGACAGCCCCGTGCGGCCGTCCCCGTTTGAGGGCCTTCCCGGTGTAATTTTTTGATGAAAATTTTTGAACATGTTCCTCATCAAGTTTAGTTTATCCATACCAAATTTCAGCTCAAAATTCGATCGGGAAGGCAGTCAAATAAATTCTTGAAACATACTGGCATTCTGCGCATATATAAAGTGCACTATGTTTCAAGAATTTATTTGACTACCTTCCTGGTCGAATTTTGAGCTGAAATTTGGTATGAATAAACCAGACTTGATGAGGAACATGCTAAAAAAAAATTCATCAAAAAATTCCACCGGAAAGGCCCTCAAACGGGGAAGGCCGCACGGGGCTGTCCGGTCAGGCCTCCTCTGACTCGAACAGCCTTCTCTCTCTCTCTCTCTCTATATATATATATATATATATATATATATACTCCCTCCGGTTTTATTTAATCTTCACACTTTGACTTCACACAAAATAAGGAAAGAAATTTGACTTTACTGTAGAGTACACTGTTGAGACACTGTTTGACACTGTTTGGCACTGTTGAGACACTGTTTGGCACTGTTGAGACACTGTTTGGCACTGTTTTGATATAGATTTCTTTACCAAAAAAGGAAATAAGGAAGTGTGAAGTTTATTTTAGACCGTCCCAAAAAGGAAAGTGTGAAGTTTATTAAAAACCGGAGGGAGTATATATATAGCCATATAGGTCAATGAAATGAAATGTTTTTAATTGGACTATAATGTTCTAATCTGATCAAGTCTCTATAAATCTCGTCTTGTATGAACTGGTTTTGTAAGTGTCTGTTCAATGCATATTTTGCGACTCTCAAAGTCGGTCAAACTCTTATATACGAAGTATATTGGTCAATGAAACGAAATGTTTTTAATTCGACTCTGATTTTCAGATCCGGTCAAGTCTGTTTAAGTTTGCTTGTTCAATGTGTATTTTAGGACGGTCAAAATCTAGTATGATCTAGTATAGTTTGATCTATTTTAAGCCTCCTTACTTTGTCGATCATCCAAAATTAAAAACATTGTTAATGTACTTACGTTCTTGTTTTCTTCTTCTCGTTGTATCTCATCTTGGCCTTGTCACGTGCCTGTGGGCTGCATGTGACTTCAAAGTTGGACTCCCATTTGGGTTCGGCGTTAAGAAGCGCCGGCGACAAGCCGCAGTCTTGATAATCCGCCACGCAGCTGTCTCCGGTGACGTTGGAAAGAGCCATGGACATGCCGCCGCCGGAAAGGACTTGCCCGGTCGGCGGCGGGAACCCTACTAAGCCAATGTTGTTTTTTATGCAATTAGGGTTCATGAGGATGCCGCAGTTGGTATTCATGCGGGGGATGACGCCCATGTTGGGTAACATACTGGTTATGGAGGAACCGCCCATATTATGCAAGGAATCTAAACTCATGCGGCGTTCTAGCGGCTTCCCTGAGGACGAAGTCTACAAATAAAAACCATGATCAAGCTCCAATTAGAGGATGTAAGTAATATTTCCACAAAATTTCTTAAATAAAAAATAGATAAATGTACAAATATAACACTATCACTGTTTTGATTCTAAAACAAGACATATTCACACCTACTTGGGGAAGTTTTATACACTATAGTAAGATCAAGTTAGTCATATTTTGTGAATGAAACATAATTACTCTTAGGATGTTTTTACTTTGACTTTTTTCAATCCTAAACCAGACCTGATCAGATCACACTAGATCAGACAAGACTTGGACAATTATACAATACACAGAAACCAACCATTTATCAGATCAGATCAGTTCATACTAAACCAGATTGGATCAGACCAGAAAATTTCAATCCAAGTAAAAACATCCTTATTTATTCACTTTGTATATGTTTTATTCCTATTTAGAGTACTTTATAATACCCCAAGTAAAAAGATCATGTCAAAAAGTCAAAGAAGAAAAATTAATTTCATTAAAGTGCATGTTATTCAAATCAGGAAGTTCTTTAAGGAACAAATGTAGTATCTTTAAAACACACTTTTTCCATTGATATTTGATTGCACCCTTTCACAAAATCTAAGACTAAAATCACATACTCATAGCAAATAGTGGAATAGATGGAAATAGTAGGAGATATATAATAAATAAAAAGATGTTAGAAAAGAGTTACTAGTAGGAGATACTATCTATATAATAGATAAAAAGATGTTAGAAAAAAGTAAACGAGTAAGAGCATCTCCAATATTGTAATGCTTTGATGATGACATGGCAAAATAATGAGAAGTTCTATTTCAAATGTGGGCCAAGAGTTTAGAAAAATGGAGGGTCTATTTGAACACAACTCCAATGCAATAAAACAAAACAAGAAAAGAAAACAAAATAAAGAAGGGAAAAACCAAACACCATGTGGTTCGATGATATAACTATGACACTCCCAAATAGGAGGTCACGAGTTCAAAGCATATTCCAGTGAAGGATGTCGGCATTAAACATTGAACATATACTATAAGAGACTACAAAGTCCATCAAACAAAAGGGAAAAGGAGATGGGTGGCCGAATGATGTGTAAGAAAGTGTCATGCAAGGTCCCAATAATATGGACCTCCTCCTAGACCTTGTTCCATATTTCCAGATGATAACTCAGGTAATATGCATTCATTTTGTTTTGCATTGGAGAGTAAATTTCTATTTTAGGAGGCGTTTGGATCTATTTCTTGAAACTGATTCTACTTCTTCATAAAGTAGATCAGATATTGAAGTGTTTGGGTGAAAGTGTAGAAGTACTTCTAGGTATTCTACATTGCTCCTATAACCAGTTTTTTTAGAAGCTAAGAAAGACTAACTTTTGAAAACTGATTCTAATTTTGCTTCTACTTTTAGAAAAGAAGTAGAAGCAGAATTAATTCCAAACACCTCTTAATAATGCATTTGCTGATGCGGAAGTGCAATGCACTTGTCCATTGGAGCGTCATTTTAATAGTTTCCAAATGGATAGGGAGAAATATATTTATAGAAGTAGAACTATCAAAAGTGAAAGAAGATACTAATATCATTCTTGAAATATTGGAGAATGTTGTAAAAAAGGATGACACTCCATTTTCGAGGCCCCCAGAATCGAATGGACTTTTATTTTGGAAGATGTAAATTGAACTTTGATCTCACTCTGAAGGAAAGAGAGTAGAATTAGTTTTATCCCAAGTCATTGCTTGGAGTTAAACTCAGAACTCAGGACCTCTCTCTTGTGACACTCCCTTACTATCAGGTGAACTACGCCCCATTGAGAAACGTTGTAAATTAAAGTCATACTAATAGTGTCACATAGCAATCATTCCATCAAGGGGTCTAGCTATCCCACGCATAAGAAACCATCTATAGTACCTAGCTATAAAGGTAACTGAGGTTGTGAAGTAAGTGAACTTGTAAATGAGATGTGTCATAAGTTCAGCCCTACCTATCAAAACCTTATCGGCTTAATCTCTCAACCTTGGGGGGGTTAATTTTACATACTTTATTTTGTAAGACATTATCAGTTTAGACTTGTAATTTGGTATGGAAACCTCTCAAAAGTCAAATACTAATTGAGTTAATTAGATGCACATTTATACTACCTTCTCAGTATTTTTGGGACATGAAATCATGAATCACTGAGACGCTAATTTAGAAAATAAAGTCATGCATGTTCTTGTTTCAACTTTAATTTGTAAAGTATAAATAGATATAACCACACAGAAGGAACAAATTTAGTGGAAGAATGGAAAATGTAAGATGAAATTACAAAGATAGAGTAACAAATGTGGGAAGCTAAGGTATTATCGATCCATTGCATGCATTAATGGAAAGAAGAGATGATATGGGCCACTTACAAGATGGCTGCTAGATTCAGTGCCTGAGAAGGTATTATCCATTGCCTGCAGGCAAGCAGCCAGTCCTCCATCGTCTCCATTAAATCTTGGCTGACATTGGCTAAACATCTCATCATACCCATTGAAACTCAATGGAACGTCTTCTTCAGTGCCCCTCCTTACGCTTTGGCAAATACCACAACCTTCACTAAGCCCTAGAGTACTCCTTGAATTGTCACAACTCTATAAAAACCCCACCAAATTAGAAGAACAAAAATAACCCCAAAATCAAAGCAAGAATTCAATCAATCACAACCACCATCCCATACAACTTTGTCAATTTCAGTTTACTATGCTTCACTAACCATGAAGCTAGCTCTTCCCCTAAACTATCTATATTACTATCAATATTTAAAAGTTTGATGTTACCAAACTAGGGCGGAGCCAGGACACTAGACTGGGCCAGTTTACACAGAATCTTTACCCTAAAAATAAGAAAGACATTTTTTAAATTTGGGGTGGACTAGAGCCTAGGTTGTCCCTCCCTTAGCTCTACCCTTACCAAACTACACAATTTTTTTAACTAAAGCGCATAATAAGTATTGGACACAAAATTGATACTCAAAATCATAGAGTAAAAAGAAATTCACTTCTCTTAAACATGTGAATACTAAAATTGCAATGTTGAGTGGGACGGAGAAAGCACTTAAACAAAAGTAGCAATTGCATTAGAAGAACCTTGTTTAGGCTATTGGGTTCGACGGCACCACCTGCGGTGAAGGGCATTTCGTCTCTGCTACCAAACGTTGTGAAGGATGCAGTGTCATGTTGCGGCTGTGAAGGATCGACCCACGGCTGCGTTGGATCGAACTTCAGACATGTGGCCAACTCGTTGAGTCGACTAGCCACAAATCCCTGATTACTATTACCATTACTATTATTCAATTCGGCCGCCAAGCAGGTAGCCGAAATAACATTATTATTGTCAATACCACTAATATTATTATTAGTAGTAGTAATAGTAGTATTAATGTAATTCTCATTAGTAATATTGTTATTAATATTTGGGTGCTGATGATCGTCAGGCAAAGATTCAAGAACGGAAGACCACATGGTGGTGAAGTCCGCCGGAGAAGGGCAGCCGGTGTACGGAAACAAACCCTTACAGCGGTGGCCCTGGGCGGAGCAGCCCCAGTCACAGGAAGCACAAATGCAAATGTCGTCGTCCATGCACCTAATCGTCGCCGGCTCGGAATTACATCGGTCGCAGACCAGAGATCGCTGGTGTCGCCGCGCCAGGCCGTTGACGGAGTGGACACAGCCGTCGCAGTGGAGGCAGAGGCGGGCGGAATCCGATCTACAATACACGACCGCCCTCACCACTCCACAATACTCGCACAAAGGCTCCATGCATGCATTTTATTTACGAAAACCCACGTACAAAACTCACCCTACATTAATCAGATCACCACCGGAGAGGGTTCAGTCAGGCTGACGACGCCGCGCCGCGCCGCCGATCTCCGACGAGGTCAGGAATGTGTGGGAATGAGCTGGGGGAAGAGTGTTTTAATTTTGAGAGTGCGGAGGAAGGAGAAAGTGATTTTTATTTATTGAGTGCTGAGGTGGTAGAGTGAAATGAAGAGAAACATGAATCATATGGAGATATAAAGATCTTTCTGCAAATATTTAAACTTCCTGGCCGCTAGACTCGCTCTATACGCGTTCACCGTTGGGACAGCTAGTAAATATCACCAACATGGATTACTTTTGTTAATTATATACTCCGTATATTCTGGAGTATTTCTTTATCCTAGCTGAGGAAGTAATTATTTTGTTTAAGAATTAAGAGGTGTATTGTTATGGAAATATACGGAGTAATTAGTGACAAAGTTATAACTTATAACTGAAACAACTATCTAAATTGGTTGATTATGAAAGATAATACTAAAAAAAATTATAAATAAAATAAATAAAAAATCAACATCAATCATCATCGTTACCCAATGCCGCAAATGTTACCATCTACGGTGGAGTAAGGGATCAGATGTACGTAGCCTTATCCTTATATTAAAATATAGAGATTGTTTTCTGATGATGACTCGTAATAAAAATTGCGCAAAAAATCGAATGGATTGCCATTTGGTTTATAACAAAGAAACGCAGACAGTTAAGTGATCGAGTCATTTTTCTTTATTCCATCGTACTCCGATCCCAAGATAAAAAATACTCTCTCAGTCTCAATTTGTAAGATATTTTTCATATTCACTTGGTCAACATAAATGACTCTTAATCTCTTACTTTATAAATCAAATTTTTATCAAAACTGATTCTGGTTTTCATGACTTTGTAAAGTTTTTAATGTAATTTCTGAATATGAAATACTCCGTATTAAAGGATAGGTACCTATTACACTGAAATTCAAAACATTTCCGAGTTTACTCCGAACAAGTTAAGTATTTGATTCAATCATATCTTGTTATTCAAGCGTTTTATATCTCACTGAAAACTTCTTATCGAGTTCTAAAATTCAATTTTGACTAAATTTATAATTTAAAATATTAAATGAGAGGCATGTATTATACTGAAACTTAAAAACATTGCCGAGATTACTACGAATAGGCTAAGTATTTGATTTGATCATATCTTGTTATATGTTCTTTCACTTCTAGTGTTTTATATCTCGTTGAAAAGATCTTAACGAGTTCTAACACTCGTAATCATATTTCATTTACAAAATATTACGAGATGGGTATCTGTTCAGGTTAATTTCCTCATCCCAAAGGCCCAATAGAGTGTCTTTGGCGGGTGACCAATTCAGATTTTCAAATATATATGTGGCTATTGTAGAAAGAAGTATGAAACACGAGAAGATCTGTTAGGTTCGTATTATCTTGGAACGGTAACAATACACTCAAGAACAAGCTATGAAACAAGGCTAATATATATACTGATGGCTACACTATTGGTTATAACATGAAAGAGTAAACTCTATTCAATGCTATTTTAGCTACCCCTTTTTCCATAATAAGTTTGGAGGTATTTATATTACTTGGGCAATATGGGCGAAAGTGACGTGTCTTCCTCCGATAGGTCGAACTATCTTGCCATCCACTTGTTATGCCCATATCTTAAATTTAATGCATCTCTTCACATGTAATTGGGTTTGCCACCTGTATTGGGGAGAGCGAAGCTGAGCATTGCCGTATAGTGCAAAGGATGGGGATCGGACCGCCCGCTACATTTCGGGGACCGAGCGTCCATTTTGTGGCCATGCGGCGAGTATGTGGCCCCATTGGGTTCATGACACTCATGTTAATAGTGCGCTATAGCGGTGGTGTGGAGCGACAGACATGGTCGGCGCTACAAGGAGGGCTGTAGCGTGGGGTTTGGGTGTAGCGGATAGGGCAACCGCTATAGCGGTGGTAGAGAGAAGGTAGAGGCGGCCGTAATGGCGGCGAGTTTTGCGGTAAACAACAATGGCACATTCTGCTAGGGTTTTTTGCGTTTTAATTTTTTTAACACAGAGGTAGAAGGGGTAAAATAGACTTTGAAAACAAAATATTAACCGGCTTAAAACCCGTTACCCGTACGTAAAAGCTCAAAACGGCTCCAGTTTTTGAAAATACTCCGTTGATGCTCTGCGATGACTTCTTCTCCAAGAATGCTCTAGCTTTTGACAATGCTCTGTTTCTGCTTCGTGATGGCTTTTCTCCAAGAACAACACATGTTGCCCTCCTCTTCATTCTTCTCAGTAGTATCTTCTGCTGCAACATTTTCTTCTCCAACCTTTGTTGCAGACCTGCCGTCATTTTTTTTTCTTTTTGTATGGCCTGGAGATTAGTCAGTCTGCTGTCATGTTTAAGCCCACAAGAGAACACATTGACCCGGCTTGAAAGTGGAACATTGTGAAAGGTGCAAAAGGCAAGAAGACTGTTACTTGTGTTTTTTGTGACAAAACTACTACTGGAGGAATTACCAGAACCAAAAGGCACCAAATGGGAATAAGAGGAGATGTCGGTGCTTGCAGGAAAACGCCAGTTGTTGTCACAACTTTTTTGAAAGAAGCATATGAGAAGAAAAAAGGAAAAAAGAAGCCTACATGGAGTTGTTAGAAGACGGTGATGAAATGGAAGAACTTAATGAAATTCGTAATATCAGAAGAGGAAAAAGGCCCCTAACATCAGCAACTGAGGCCTCTTATCTTCCTGCCAAAAAAGGCCAAAGGGCCTTTAGACTTGCTTTATTATAAGAAACCAGGAAAAAAACAATAAGCTTGGGAAAAGCTGAGGCAAACAAGCATAAATGATGCTTGTGACAAGGAAGCTAGGGCCAGAACCATTCAATATATTGAAAGATCTCTATGCACAAATGTAATCGCTTTTAATGTTGCAAAATCAAAAGGTTTCAAGTTGATGGTTGAGGCCATTGGAAATTATGGTCATTTAAAGCCCCCAAGCTATTATGAGTGTAGAGTTACACTTCTCAAAAAAGAATTGAAGTACACTAAGGGACTTTTAAAGAATTGAATCGCATAATAATATAGATGCTAAATTATGTTCGATGGATGAACAGATAGGAAAAACAGAGCATTGATTATTTTTTTGGTGAACTGCCCAAGGGGGTCAATGTTTGTGAAGAGTGTTTATGGTTCTAAATACACAAAAACTACTGAGAAATTATTTGAGCTTCTTGATCAATTTGTTGAGATAATTGCGGAAGAAAATGTGTTGCAAGTAATCACCGACAATGGAAGTAACTATGTTCTTGCGGGAAATATTTATTAGTTCAATTACTTCAACATTACTTTATTTAAAATTTAAATTTCTGAATTTCAGTTATGTGACTATCTTGTCCTAGCTGCTTTAAGTGATTTTGTGTTAGAAAAACTGCTACAAGTGAAGAGAAATCATTTATTTTGGACTCCATGTGCTGCCCATTGCGTAGACTTAATGCTTGAGAACATCGTGAAGTTGTCCACAATGAAAACAACAATAAGAAAAGGTATTTGTGTAGTGAGTTTCATGACTTCATCTATAACCATACCATTGTTCTTAACATGATGAGAAAGTTCACCAACAAGATGGAATTGCTTACATGTGGGATTACAAGGTTTGCTACGTCATTCCTTACCTTGCAATGGCTACATACTCAAAAAACAAAGCTTAGAACACTAGTGGAAAAAGTGGCATTTGAGGAGCTTAAAATGTTGCTCGTGCGGCGCTTCCAAGCGCCTGGAATTTAAGTGTCGCAAAACAACATTTAGAGGCGTTTTAACATAATAAGCACCTTGGGGAAAACAATGAAAGCCCGGCGCTTTCCCCTTCAGAAGTGCCACCAATGCCCCGTATATCTTTTGAAGGAACGGTGCTTATTCAATTTTCATAACAAGCGTGACTTTTAATGACATGACAACTTGTTTATCTTTTCGAAGTCAAAATTTATTTGATGAGTTTTCTTAACTTCTTTTTAAATGAATAATACAGAGTAAAAAAACCACGACCACATACACGAAACATAAAAACAATGTAAAAAAGCAACATGCCTACACTTAATAAAACATTGATCCTTACTACGGAGTACAATAAAATATCTATACATCAGCTACTAAATTAATCTGGAGAGTAATCTTCCGGTCAGGAATTTCCTGGCCGGAGCGCCGTCCGACCTCCTCCTTTTGGGGGCCTTCCCGGTGGTATTTTTTTCTCAAATATTTTGTGTATGTTCCTCATCAAGTCTAGTTCATCCATAAAACATTTCAGCAAAAAATTCAATTGGGAAGGTCATCAAATGATTTTTGCAAGTTACCTGGTCCGGAAAATACAAATGATTTTTGCAAGTTAACATATTCCGGACCAGTTAACTTGCAAAAATCATTTGACGACCTTCCCGATTGAATTTTTTGCTGAACTTTATTATGGATGAACTAGACTTGATGAGGAACATACACAAAACATTTGAGAAAAAAATACCACCGGCAAGGCCCCAAAATGGAGGAGGCCGGACGGGGCTCCTGTCTGGAAATTCCGGACAGGAATAGCCCTCTCTCTCTCTCTCTATATATATATATATATATATATATATATATATATATATATATATATATATCAATTCATAATATATCATAGATCCAGGATCCTTTCAATCAGTTTTAATTTTAAAAGTATAAATATTTAAAATTTTGTATAGTGACCGACTTACGTTTTCAGGAAAGCTCTTTCAACTCGTCTCGAAACATCATCATGTCATGTATGTCTGTTCATCGAAGTAAATACAGAGTATATGTTAGTACTGTATTTTTTTATATTAAAAAATGCAAATCAATACTTTTGAACTTATTTACTTCGAAATGAAATGTGAAAAATATGTCATAGAAATTATCACAAAAAGTAATAAAAAGATTCAAAATTCATAGGAATCTCAAAAGTATCAAGCAATTAAAGTGAATAAAAGAATACCGACCAGTCTAAACCTTTGTTACGTTGTTCAAGCATCCTAGAGCAATAGTAGGAGTTAGCGACGTCCGGGCTGTGAAATGCCGGTTGCATCAACGGCGGGGGATGGAAGAGCTGATCTTGTCCATTTGTCCTCCAGGGTCGCGCCATTAGCGGTGAAATACGGGTTGGGCCATCACCGATCTTAGCGACATAGGTATCATCCCCAAATGAAGTCTACCGTGGGAGATGGGTATTCTCGATCTAGATATAGATCTGTAAACATGAAACACACTGTAGGGCTTATATATTTGAAAAGAGACTTACGGAGTATTATTATTCTTTAAAAGACGATTTTCCAAGTGAAGCGCCGCACTGAAGAACGACGCTTATGACCTCAAAAGTGCCGCACGCTATACAATTCGTAAATTTAAGCAAATAGCAGGTGCTTATTCAAAAAAACGCTTCTAGTGAAGCG